CATGTTGTATGTTTTAGTTTTAGTTTGTTAATATTGACGATGCATGATATTTGTTACATGTTATTGTATACAAATCTAATGTGCAAATAAACGATTTGATTTGATTTGATTTGATTAGTGACTTTAAAATTAAGTAAATTCAAACGCTTTAGGAAAAGCAGCCCAAACCCATTAAAGTTTTGGGGATATGCCAGGAATTGAACCCGTCCATTCCGAACCAAAGTCCGAGATGCTAACACTATGCTAGCAACACACCCAATGATTGTTTTCATATTTACTTTCAGGTATAAGTCACTTAACATATTTATTTTATTACAATATTTTATGAGTTTAGAAAGTTTTCCAATTTGTATGACTGGTATTTGTGACATACTATTTTGCTGAACGTCTGTACGTGATGCCGGGAATTGGATCAGTGTCTGCTGGGTGTTTATTTCAGGGGCCGAAACAACAGCAGTAATCAAAGGTTTGGCTGAGAGTCGTAGCGCAAAATCAAATTGATTGTCAAAAGTCTCAGTCATCATAGGCAAAGGTAAAGGATTTTCACCAGCAGAAGTGGGGTCTATGAATATGCTACCAGAGTAGTCGGCAGGATCAGGTTGAATACTAACATTACTCTTGCAAAATCCCATTTAATGCTAAGATTATTCTAGCAGGATCTGGTTGAATCTCAACATTACTCTAGCAAAATCCCATTTAATGCTAAGATTATTCTAGAAGGATCAGGTTGAATCTTAACATTACTCTGGCAAAATCCCATTTAATGCTAAGATTATTCTAGCAGGATCAGGTTGAATCTTAACATTACTCTGGCAAAATCCCATTTAATGCTAAGATTATTCTAGCAGGATCAGGTTGAATCTTAACATTACTCTGGCAAGATCCCATTTAATGCTAAGATTATTCTAGCAGGATCAGGTGGAACGCTAAGATTACTTTTTTAAGGAGGAATAAGAACCACAATGTAAGATTAGGCTTTTACACATTTTAAGGGGATTTATTAGAAAATAAGCCCTGGTCACAGAGAAGTAAGTTGTAGAGGTTCTTTGGTACATTTAGTCACTAGTGCTGGTGTGTAGGGTAAAGTCCAACACAGCCCCCTCACGTACTACAATGCTCACGGTGGAGGAAGACCCTGTGCCTTGAGCGATAGGAGTTTCCACACAGTACTCTTCTTTGCTCGTCACTTGTATATTTCCAGCACAACAAACTAAGATGAATGCACACGGTTAGCCTACAAGCGTGTTTCCTCTGTACTTCAAATCTCTGTGCCCTAGTCTTGTTTTTGTAGCTGGGTATCTGAATGGTTATAGGGATGGGCACAGTTGGTTCACTAAACGGTTTTCGACAACTATTGACCTTGGCACTGGCGTTGCGTTGTGGCTGTGCACTGTTTACAAGGATAATGCTTAGCTCAACGGTCGAGAGTAGACGGTTGCGTTGCCGTCGACCGTTATGCATGTCTACTTTACTTTATTTGTAGAAATTAAATTGGCCGTAGTAGCCTGTTGCCATGCATGGCCTATGAGTGAAACCTAGAGATAACTTAGTGAGTACCTATAATATAGTTTATAAATACAAAATAACTAAGTTTAAATGTAACATAAATGTCCACTGTGCACAAAACAATTTTTATTTTAAAAATTAAATTTAACCTGTATATTTGCCGATCTTATAGAGTAAAAATTTACATGACTTGGAGTAAATCTAGAATGAACATGATTAAACGAAAAACTTAGGATAGCTATGCAGCCTATTATTTGGTAACAATAAGAAATAAATCGGTTATTCAGGTAACCTCGGTCCTACACAAACAACGACAACTACATCGCCACGAAACAGTTGAATAAAACTGCCTCTGCCTGTTTTACCAGTTGGATAACTACCGTGTTTGGCCAGCCCACAACCACTATCGAACCAAATAGTAGTTGTTCGACATTGCGTTGAACAACCATTATTTAATTGTGCAATGTATGCCGCACCACAACTGTTGTGTTGTTTTGGCCTCACCTCTAAATGATTATATGAATGATTATATATAGTGATTGCCAATCATGCTGGCCCAATCCTGAGGAAAGTCAGAAAATTGTTGACGACTCAATGCTTCAAATTTTGAAACAGGAGAAGTCTAGTACAAAAAGTCAATTGTGTAAGACATATGACATAGGGATTGCACTCCTAAGGCTATTTGAACACATACCAATTTTGGATGGTTGGTAAATGATCAGCTGATATTATACCAGTAGCAGATGATTGCAGACGCACACAATTTTCACCAGTTATATAATGAGTTCCTTTATTGTCATAGTACAGCCAACTGGAATGGAAGATGGGTGTTCAGGGCTAAGACAGTAAGAGTGTGTGCAAGCGTGTATCAAGTTACATACGCCATTGTACTGCCGGTACTTCTTTGGGGAACTGGTTTATGATGCAGTGTGCCCGGTTCCGTACACTCCTGTGGTTATTGGAATTTGGACATTCAGTAAAGAATTTACTGTACGTGTGTACATGGCCTAAACCAGTACAAACCTTTATAACATGTTTTTTTTAGATGTCATTAAAAAAAAGTACATTAATCTCTGGTTTCTTTAATTACTCATTTTTAATTACAATATCAACGTAAGAAAAAATACTTGTCAGTACAAAAATAAACAATCCAGAGGATAGAATATATATCATTTAATATTTTTCCATTTTCAGAGGAGTTTGAGATGTTATATAGCCTATGGCATGGACACATACAAGGTGACTCTAAATATCTTGTTTTTCGTGGGTTCATTGACTCACCACCTCCAACGGGGGATGGTGCACGAGGAGTAAACCGAAATTCTTAAATTTAAGCATAGGTAGACATGTTCATCAAATTAAAGGTCTTGTTGAACTAAAAACAACTAGTGAACCTGTGCGGCTCAATGTCCCGCAAAATAACATAGGAATTTAGAAAACAAATTCGTCGTGTTATATATTGACTCGATCGTCAAACATTAAATACAGTAATAATAAAGCCTTAGAAGGGAAGCAGTCCAGCCATTTTCTAGCTGTATGTGTATTATATTTAGTAAATTAATAAGTGTTCAAGTTCAAGTATGTTATATAGGCAGCGAGCAAGGTTATAGGGTAGTTATTTTTCAAAGATTTATAAAACACATTTAACAAAACATTTTACTATATCAAACCAATAGGCCTATATGTAGCATATTTTGAGGGTCATAAAAATGTTGTTTGGAGAAAACACACTTTTAAAAATAAACACTAAAAAAACTATATTTTTATCACAAAAGCACTTCTATGAATACTACGATTTTAGTCTTAAAGTTACCTTCAGGAAGATTACCCTGGTCAGAGTTTTTCGTAACGAATATGCGTATCCTATTAAAAGATGTATCCTTACTTAAAACAACATAATATAGTTGCTCATGACTGAAATTGATCTGGGTAGAACCATGCTGCTTTTTAATTAAAGTGCTTGTGCTGCAAATGCCAAAGGTAGGCCTAACAGAAATTAGCATCTTTCCATTTTAAAAGGTAAGTTTGTTTCAGACGGGCACATTTTTATCCTAGAAATCAAAATATATCCCCACTCACTATTAAGTTGTTAACCGTTCTGATCACATGAAGCCTTGTGCCATTAATGAGGCCTTTTTATGCATTTTATGATGTATTAATATTCCTCATCAATAAAACCACTGCCCCCTTTATTAGTCTAATCTGTGTCTTGGCAATCCACTGACCTCTATATTAAAAAAAACTCAGTTGGATTTGCGAGATGGGTGTCTCCGCCTTCGCTGTTTTGGAGGAACCAATCTTCTTCCCCTTGGCGTACTAACAATTAATTACCTGACTTGTCAAGTTCGTGTAGTAATCAATACTGTTAGTTTATAAAAAAATTAGATAAAAGTTACTTGGCTTGGTGTTTCATAACTGCAAACTCAAAATACACCCACAAGTAAAAGAGAATCAAGTTATTGGTAAAAAAACAACTATTTTTGTGTAATAACATTATTCACATGAAGTAGATAATTTGTTGTTTTGTCGATCAGCTGTTTAGTTTCAAATGAATTAATAATGTCAATGTCAAAGATTTGTGATTTTTAATAAATAAATTATTATAGTAAAGTTTTCTAAATCATGGTAACCTATTCTCAACACAATTTTACTATTCCCAGCATTAAAATAAAGTAGTAAGATCCATTATGGGTAAACTTTAAGGTACACAATCCTTGGTTGAAATGTAGTATACATTAAGAGTCATAATACACAGCAATTATTATGTAGTAGACTTTGACTATTTTCAAGTAACAAACATATCTTTCTGTAAAAAAAAAAAATATCTCCCATGTTATCCTTATGGAGAAATACGAAACTTTAAAGGGCTCCAAGGCCTCAATCTCTCATTATTTCCCTAAAAAGAAAGTTTCCTGCACAACTTCACGTTACCCTCTTTCCAATGACACCAAAAACATGACAATCGGTTCAGTAGTTTCGGAGGAGTAATTGTCACAACAACCCTGCTTGCGTATTAAATAAGTATAGATGCCGCAAACTGGACATTAAATGGATCGAGTAAAAAATTAAAGCTGTTCAAAGATTCATTGAATTTGCATTGCTATTGTACGTTACCTCCTCGCTAGAAGACAGAAGAAAATCATAAACGTAAGCAAAGGTCGATATGCACATCAAATTGAAGGTTTTTATTTGTAGAATACATTGCCACAATTTTGAGGTCCAGTTTGCGGCATTGTATTCTACAAGACCTTTAATTTTATGTACATGTCAACCTATGCTTACTTATAAGGATCTCGCCTTACTCCTCGTGGACCGTCCCCATTGGCGGTGGTGAGTCAATGAACCCATGAAAAACAAGATATTTAGGTTTAACAAAGATGTGCAAAGTTTAAACATTCTAACTTTTACTATTTAGATAAAAAAAAACATTCAACTCACTCACCCTGTAGAATGGTTGTTCAGTGGTACTCAGTGGAAATAAATAAATCTTAAAATCTGTTTTTTGCAACACATTTTTATATCACAATAGTCTTAAGATGTATACTGAAGGAAAAAGTAAAAAAAATTGAATGTACAAAACTTTAAACACACATTTCTTACATAAATAACTAATAGTAAAACCATTGACTATAAACGTAAAACAAAACACAACAAAAAAATATGACAGACCTATTTTTTTACCATTTAACAACCCTTTTGATGAAATAGTCTGTCAACACAATTTAAGTAACTGGATTCATAAAATTTTTAGGTCTAAATTGTAAATGTAAAATGCAATTCTATCCTATTAGTTGATAATTAATAAATAAATATCCCTGTATTACATTACAACTCATTTTCTGATTTTAAAAATTATTATAATGGTTTAAAACACAAAATGATTAGTGCATCAACTCTAAGCTAATGTGCCCCTACTGTACAATGTATGTTAACAAAATAACTGTCATACATTGTTAATATAAAACTATTTACAACACTATGTAAAGTCTAAAAATATTTAAATGTTAAAAACAACAAGAAAAATCAGCTCAATGACAGACAATGGCACTGTAGAAAATAATAAACAGCAAATAATGATAATAATAATCACAATGATTAATTTATAAAAACAACCTAAAATATAGGACAATAAATGATTATCTTGAAATCACACACTTACACAACTTCACATACTTTACGTCGGTATGTAGTAAATCACAAAATCCATAAAAAAGGAATTTTTAAAAAGGTTTAGAAATACAAAATCTTTAATGATCCCTTCATGGAAGGAATATTATAACAATGATTGTTTTACTTAAGCTAATGAAAATAGGCGTTTCTTCTTAGATTTGTACATTCATTATAAACAGGGGTCCGGATTTAGGATCACAGATAAATTTTCTGGTGACAACAATCTTTGTAGGTCGTTTATCTGATATTCTACGAGATATTATTTCTAACGTTTCCTCAACTTTATTCAAACAACTTTCATGTTTTACAGCATTCTGTGCTGAACAACCTGTGAAACAAACAAAAATAATGTACAATGATGAATTAAATTAATTAATGTGTTAAATCCTCAATGATTTTTTTATGTCACAGACTTAACAAAAACATAATAAATAAGAAAGTTGTTGATAAATAATAATCCTTATATATAATACGTGAAGGCGATTTCAATGACACATTACTCCTCTGTTGATAATGGATGGATTATTTATACAAACAATGTGTCAAAATTAAGTATTTTTTGTGTATACGCCCCCTTTCACCAATTCCTGTAATACAAGTCCTCGGGCTTTGCCCCACAGACCATCAAAATCCCAATGTATTTCTTATGAAGAAAAGATTTTGCTTACTTAAACAGACGATTAATTACAGCTGTACATAGTAAACACATGATACACACGAGAGCGTTCATTTTCAGTTTGGAAAACTGGAGTGGAGTGAGCATTCGACTCACAGTGAGTTCGTTTTCAGTTTCGATAAATGGAGTGTAATGATTTATTAGGTATAACTTTTAGCTTATCCTGCGTGTAGAAAAAACGTGTCTTACCAAAAACCTTCTCTGCCGTCTCTCCAGCCAGGAGAGCAGTCAACGGGGTGTTGTCTAGAAGTCTCATCTCTACTGAAAAGTGAAACTCTGGACTTTCCAAGCTTGCATTACAACCTGAAAACCAAACCAAATACAGTAATTTAGTTTGTAAAGCCGCAAATCTAATGACTATCATACGAGTCATTGTTTTGTCCCATAATTACTGTTTGGATATGAAAACGCAAACCCTCTTAAACAAACTTCAATCTTAACTTAAAATTTAGACAGGAATAGGCCCTAATAGTTGCAGCGGGTGAACTATTCAACAAGAAAATTGGGTCAAAACAATAATTTAAAGCCTAGACACATAAATTTTAATTTGCTCACACTTTAAGAATTATGAACAAAATTAATGGTAAATAAGGTTAGGAGAGTGGAGAAGGTAGACGACGTATTCAAAACAACAACAGATAAGTCATTCAGCGAAAAAACATAGCGTTATGACAAAAAATAAACATGTAATACCTTTGAAAAACAAAAAGTCATAAAATGACATAATGTTAAAAGTTAGCGAGTGGAAAGATTATATACATTTAATCAAACTAAAATAAGCTGATTACACAACTGGGTGAGTCAAACCTATTGCACAATTAACTTAACACGTGGAGTTGAATCTAAATTTAGATTGTCAAAGTAAGTAAATCATTTTGAAGGTAGACTTTAAAGGCTCTTAATAATAGGACATTGAGACAGTTTGATTATCATTTATGTATCAAATAATCTCCATGTTTCCCCATCCTTATAACCAATATATGCTAGGGTTAGGCTTAGTCAGGATATTCTCTATGTCTCCCCATCCTTATATAGCTAAGTTAATGTGTGTCATTATAATTTTGACCTGTAATGTCAGAATATAACTAATACTAATACATCTATTATTGTTTCAAATCAATGGTGTTATTATTCCAATAAGCCTAGGCTTTGTAGCCAGCCTCACCACCTACCCATAAACTACCCTGAGAACAAAGAGTAAATAGCCAAATTAAATTTGAATTAAAAAGGACCAAGTAATTTTGATTTTAAAGCATAAAGTTATTTTATTAAAATAAATGATAAAAAATACAAAAAAGAAGGAACAGCGTATAGTAAAAATCTAATGAAAATGAATTTCAGGGTACTCTGGTGTTTATTATTTTACTTATTTAGTAAAAATCTAATTTAGATTGGTCTAAAAATTGTTATTAAAAGAAATAAATAATATTTTACCTCCCATTGACTTTGTACATACAGTAAATTGTATTGTTTTTACTTATCAACAATACAGCAAACATTACTATTAGTCCAGCATCTATAGGGGGTTGAGTATGCACTGAAAGTGTAACTCTTTTTGACTTTTGATTGTTGTTGGGGGCATCTTGGAGATGACAAAAACCGATGTTGTCGCCCTCCCAGCAGGTGCACAACTTGGGGGGGAGGGGGGGAAGGTGCTCTGAGACGCGTTCTAGAAAATCGCTTATATCTCGTGAACTAGACACGATAGAAACAAGCTCTAAACGGCATTGTATTACCAACTTCATCTGCTTTAAAAAAGTATCCAGGAAAAGTCCAGTATCTATGATATTAGTTGAGTTATTTAACAATTTATTTTAAAATTTGAATAAAAACCCCTAAAAAAAGTCAAATTATCCATTAAAACCCCTTTAAAACAACAAACAGTACAGTTTTTCATCGTGCATAATATGTTTAACACGCTAAAGTGACTTTATATGGTAATTATATCGAAATATTACAAGGTTATGCAAGGTTTCCGATGAAGCGACACGGTGACGTGGATGACGCCGCTGCGCGGCAGAAATCAACGTGTAGTACAGACTTGTAAAAATTGGGTATGTACCGAAAGTGTAACGCATTTTGACTTTTGATTGTTGTTGGGGGCAGCTTGGAGATGACAAAAACCTATGTTGTCGCCATTCCGGCAGGTGCACAACTTGGTGGGAGGGGGGGGGAAGTAGCGTTGAAGCGCGTTCTAGAACATCGCTCATATCTCGTGAACTAGACACGATAGAAACCTGTTTAAAACGACATTGTATTACAAACCGCATCTGCTTTAAATATTTTACAATGAAAAATCCCATATCGATGATAATAATTGAGTTATTTAACATTTTATTTTAAATTACAAATTTAAAGTCAAAATACAGTTTATCTGCCCATATAATTCTCATAAAACAATGAATAGTACTGTGTTTGGAGTGCATTCTATGTTCAACACACGAATTACAAAAAATTAAGTTTACTGTACTTTCCTTAAAATAATATGTACGGAGTTCTCGATTTTGCGAGAAAATAATTATAAGCTGTTTTTAACATTAGGCTATTTTAAATATAAAATTCACACAAAAGTCTAGGTACAACTACAAAAGAAAATGCTTCAGTTTGAAATTTATACGGTTTTTATTAAAATAATGTTAAAATAGACTTGGAAATGCTGTACTTCATTTTAAAACTTAACTACCATATAATATACTTAAACGGTCTTAATGATGAGGATTTCTACAATTTTTTTAACATTTGCAGTAGGAGCTTTAGGATTAAGAAGAAAAGGAAGCACCTGCAATGTCACCTGCTATATAGAAATCACAACTAATCCACCTGCCTTCAAGGACATTAGTAAAATGCCTTGAACACCAGGCAGCTTCAAATTACACCTGTTACGGTGTAGTGCCCAACTATATTTTTGGGAAAAGTCCTTGACAGCAGAAATAGAGCCTTTAGATCTATTCCGGATTCCGGTACGGATTTTTCAAAGACAGCTCAGTAAAATTGCACCCTCTTCTTATGACCATGCCCCCGGCTCCTACAAATTTGCTACAGCCAAATCTGCAAGACTTGTTCTAGATCAACTTGTCGCTGCTTTTCAAACAAGTCATCCTGCTGCTCCTACTGAAAATGTTTTAAAAATTGCAGAAATCCTTATCATTATATTAAGACCGTTACAAACAAGATGACCGAAATAGTATCCGTTGTTTTCTTATGTGTAGTTTATATGGTAGTTATTTATAGTAGACTTAGTGTTAGTTATATGGACTTTTGTTTGAATTTTATATTTAAAATAGCCTAATGTTAAAAACAGCTTATAATTATTTTCTCGCAAACTCGAGAACTCCGTACATATTATTTTAAGGAAAGTACAGTAAACTTAATTTTTTGTAATTCGTGTGTTGAACATAGAATGCACTCCAAACACAGTACTATTCATTGTTTTATGAGAATTATATGGGCAGATAAACTGTATTTTGACTTTAAATTTGTAATTTCAAATAAAATGTTAAATAACTCAATTATTATCATCGATATGGGATTTTTCATTGTAAAATATTTAAAGCAGATGCGGTTTGTAATACAATGTCGTTTTAAACAGGTTTCTATCGTGTCTAGTTCACGAGATATGAGCGATGTTCTAGAACGCGCTTCAACGCTACTTCCCCCCCCCTCCCACCAAGTTGTGCACCTGCCGGAATGGCGACAACATAGGTTTTTGTCATCTCCAAGCTGCCCCCAACAACAATCAAAAGTCAAAATGCGTTACACTTTCGGTACATACCCAATTTTTACAAGTCTGTACTAGACGTTGATTTCTGCCGCGCAGCGGCGTCATCCGCGTCACCGTGCCGCTTCATCGAAAACCTCGCATAACCTTGTAATATTTCGATATAATTACCATATAAAGTCACTTTAGCGTGTAAAACATATTATGCACGATGAAAAACTGTACTTTTTGTTGTTTTAAAGGGGTTTTAATGGATAATTTAACGTTTTTTAGGGGTTTTTATTCAAATTTTAAAATAAATTGTTAAATAACTCAACTAATATCATAGATACTGGACTTTTCCTGGATACTTTTTTAAAGCAGATGAAGTTGGTAATACAATGCCGTTTAGAGCTTGTTTCTATCGTGTCTAGTTCACGAGATATAAGCGATTTTCTAGAACGCGTCTCAGAGCACCTTCCCCCCTCCCCCCCAAGTTGTGCACCAGCTGGGAGGGCGACAACATCGGTTTTTGTCATCTCCAAGATGCCCCCAACAACAATCAAAAGTCAAAAAGAGTTACACTTTCAGTGCATACTCAACCCCCTATAGATGCTGGACTATATCTAGATAACAAAAAATATATACTGTACAAATAGTGAACAAAGTGTAGAAAAAATACATTTTCCTACAGTCACCCGACAAAGTTGGCTTCCTTGTACTGTTTATAGTACAGAAAGCTGCTAATTGCTGCATATTTATACTTTGCCGTACGGTTTACACTTTGTCGTACGGTTTATACTTTGCCGCACATCAGGATTCCAACGAAACAACACAAAACAGCGTGGTTCTATTATGCACGTAATCCGTGTACGCTTGGAAATAGATTGGCAACACTTAAAGATAATAATACTATGAGCAGCTGATTGACTATTATAACTACGATTTAACCTGTCATTTCGTGTTTATCGTTTCGGTATTTCTGAACTTTCTGGACTTTTCTTTTAAACGTTTTTAAAACATTCCTACGATCTTAATAAACAAGAAAATACCTTTAAAGCATTTTTTTTTAGGCGCGGAAACCACTTCAAATTACATAAACATACGGAACTATATTCTCAAAACGCGGAGCACATTTCTTGCTGAGGAAACATAGCGGAGTGATACAGACCGGGTTCTCTAGGGCACCATTGTGTTGCCAGCTGAACCTAAAAACGTGTTGTATAGTGTTTGAAAGACTAATTATTTATATGCTTTATAGTGACTGTAGGAAAAATATAAGTTAATGTGTAAAACAAGTGAAAAAGGCCTTTGCTGCACTCGAGATCATTCCGTAAACATTGCTCTTGCCGCGATTGCGGTAAAATCATGAACATCTCCTGCAGACATTTAGACCTTATCAGTGACTACCGCGATTAAGGAAACATCATAGTCGTCATTCCCGATCGCAAGATCTTTGGAGACGTGTTTTAAATGCATTTTAAGTGCTTTTATTGATGACATTCCAGTAATCTGGCATTTTCACTAATCCGACAGTATCACGGTCCTGTAACTGCCGGATTACTGAGAGTCTACTGTATATGTTTTCAATGAACACCTACAAGATTTTTTTTTACATGTAAAGTATAATTAATAAATCTATACTCACACTGTGAATCTGGGCAGACAACGTGACTGCCAACTACGATTGCAGACGAGAAAGAAGCGTCATCAGTGTTTCTGCCGTTGGCTGCATTGTAAACATCATACAACTTGTCACAAGTAGGACACCTCGCCTTAAAACAATTGTCTTTCCACGAATCTGTAAATAAAAGGTTCTTAATGAAGGCAACGGAGGTCTTGGGGTAAATATAAGAAGCATTTTGAATAGACTTTAGACTTTGGAATAGACTTTAGATTAATAAAATAAGTAAATGTTTTGTTATTTGTGATATTTTTTATTTGGGATATTCTGATTACATTAAACCCCTAATGTAGTTGCAATGACCCCAGCTTTAGTTCTCACAAATACATCGTCATGTTCAAAGAGTCAAATTAAGATTGTTGTAATGATTTTAATACTAATCTTATCTTACTTATATTATAAATGTGAAAGTTTGTTTGTTAGAAGTTTAATCACGCATTAACTATTGGTCGGATTGGGCTGAAATTTGGTATGGTAATAGCTTACATTCCCGATTAACATGTAGATATATTCATATCTCAAAAATCCTTTCGGGCTCCACCCCAGTGGCTCTGGAGTTTCCCATGTTAATCTTATGAGTAATTTAAAAGGAATTAAAGAATGTTGTCTGGTGTAAAATGAGCTGTGATATACAATGAGAACTTTACTTTTTTCTAATGTTTAAGCCCATGTCACACGGAGCTTGTTGCAGCAGCTTTAGTTGCTATAGTCGAATAGATTACAGAATAGGACTGCTCTTTGAAGAGGTAGGGGATTGCGACGTTGCCACTCCTTTCTTGGCTGGTGAGCTGACTTTCACCCCACCTAGAGCCTGGCACCCCCTGCCTCTAATCTTCACACTTGTAGGGTAGTTCAACACTACAAAGTAGTTTTTGTAGTAGTAGTAGTTTAAAAAAGGTAGTAGTAGTAGTAAATAAAAACTACTAGGTACCCACATACCAAATTCCATCAAAATCGGACATCAGTTGTACTCTGTAACTCTGTACACATTCACACTGTGACGGGCCTAAAATATCCAATATAGATTTAAAATGATTAAAAGAGTTTGGAACTACTTTTTGAATGTGTAGGCCTAAGTGCGCACTAGTAAGGGCACAGTAGTGGATCACAACACACACACATACAGAGATGTCACTTTGAAAACCACTTTTTTGGGTTTAGGGAGACCAAAAGCAGATATTTCCACTCAAAACCCAAACTTGAAAGTTTTGACCACAACAAGGTTAACAATCTACTAGGTCTATGTTATTTTAAAATACTTTTTTACCTTATAAAGAAAATGTTCTATGACATAATATATATATAAATACCATCAAAGTACAGTACCTGAAATCGATGGGCTGATCTTGGTAAAAATAACTGTCACGTTCAAACGGTTTAGTCTTAAAATATGGTTAGTAAGAGTGTTATACGACACTAATGGTACATTTCTGTCTATTGCATCTGGAACAAAACATGTATTTTATATTAAACTACAAAATTATGTTTGTTAAATAAAATATAAACCATGAGGAACCATACTTAAGTGTCTCGAGAAATAATATTCAATTACGTGAATAAATTACGAAAAATTGTGAGTAGATATTGAAATATTTAAAAAGTATCAAAAGCCATTAATTCCTAGGCAAGATTGACAAGCAATTTGCAAAAAAATTAGTTATACCAAAATATAACCTTTACACAACCTAATCAAATTAAATTTGCCACAACTGGTACAACCATCATGATTTGCTTTCTCCTTAGAATTCTAATATTGTTGATTTTGCTGTTTGTAACTTGAAACTTCAGTCTGGGTATAGTTTAGGCCTAAGTTTTAAGATTAAATCTCAATAACCAAACTTATACTTTCAACGTTATATGAAAGTATAAGATCAGCTGGCAGATACACCTGTTATGTATTGCAGCCTGGGAGTCAAGTCAAGAACTACTTTGTTGGCCAAGGTGGCAAGTTCAGTGTTGTAAAAAAGGCATCATGTCATCAACCAAAAGCCAGCACCATAGTTTGAGGGTTCAAAACCCTACATTCATACATTCATCTCCATTCATACTCGGCTTAAAATACCTACTTTGTATGGTCATATTTCAATAAAAAGTATAAAGTACACAGTCAGATGTGCACAACTCATGAGTTCACTCGTCTGTGGAAGAAATTGATGGGAGAGGCCTGACAAAATGAGTAGATTCTTTGGGTCCTTTCCAAAGACCCAAAGAAAGAGAGGTGAAAGAAAAAAACAATATCTATGAAGATAGGGAGAAAGAGGGTGAGGAATGTATACGTATCCAGTTATTGTTAAATCATAGTGTTGAATAGTGTTAAATCATATAATACAAGTTGTGTCTTTTGTTGATTTAAGTTGCTGTTATTCTTTACAGAATTTTATAAATATATATCTTTTATCAAATGTTAAAAATATAGTTCCTGTTTTATTATATGTTATAAAGTTTATTTCAGCTGTTATTATTCCTTGTTAGATATCTATTTGTTGTTGAATGTTTGTAATCTGAAAGTATATACTCATGTAAAAAAAAAAAAAAAGAGGAGCAGAGGGAGGAGGAGGGAAGGGGTTCTTTGGGGTTTATTTGGGTTCTTTGGGTAGTCACACCTTAAATAAACACCTTATCTTGCAGGTGTAGTGTGTTAGTTAAAAACTTGTTTTCAAATAATTTTGTATTGAGAAGAAAACATTGAGGAAAAATAATTGATCACACTTCAAAAATAAAGAATGCAGAGCAAAGCATAAAAGAGAATTGATAGAATTGTACTTGGACGTGGACATTGTGGCTGAGACAAGAAGCAGGAGGATAGGAAAGGCTGGATGTGTAAATAAAGAGAGAGAGGACGGCTCCTTAATCAAAACAATATTGTTTAATAGTTCCGTGACCAAAGCTGAGATGGTGGGAATAGATCAGAGAAGCTCTAACGAGTCTGGAAAGATGGGAAGAGGAGGAAGCCTGGTGAGTGTGTGTTGGCAAAGCAAAGTATCCCCTTAGGCACCAAAAGTCAAGGCAGTAAATTAGTGAAAAGCATGATGAAAATACACATTATTCACTGAATAATTTACGGAAATGGTTAACAAACTTAATGTTGAACAATGACAAATGAAAAAATCAACAATACTCACAGCTCAATTGTTGGCGTGACCTTGTCTCATCATTATAAATCTGGTTAAAATCCTCCTGAAAATAAAAAGTGTTTTTGGTTACGAGGCATGTTTTTTAAGTAAGTACCGTTTTTAAATTTCTCCGTTCCAGCACTGCGATTGGCATTTCGAACATTTGCGCTGTATATGTGAATCTATTGGCTAGCTCTAGCCGGAAATTCAACAAAAAATGGCCCTGTTTACATCCGGTTTCGAGCAATTCAAAATGGTGCCGCCAAATGAGACTGCCGCCGACTGTGAAGTGCGCGCTGTAATTAGATTTTTAAATGCTAAAGGTGTGATAGCCATTGAAATTTATCGACAGATCAGTGACGTGTATGGCGAGAACATTATGAGTGACGGAATGGTACGCAAGTGGGTAAGGGCATCTAAAGACGGCGCCACCAACGTTCATGATGAGCAACGCACTGGGTACTGGGGACATTGACGCCGCCCAGTGTGTTGCTCATCATGGACGTTGGTGGGGCCGTCTTTAGATGCCCTTACCCAATTGCGTACCATTCCGTCACTCATAATGCTCTCGCCATACACCTCACTAATCTGTCGATAAATTTCAATGGCTATCACACCTTTAGCACTTAAAAATCTAGTTACAGCGCGCACTTCACAGTCGGCGGCAGTCTCATTTGGCGGCACTATTTTGAATTGCTCGAAACCGGATGTAAACAGGGCTGATCTTTGTCGATTTCTGGCTAGGGCTAGCCAATAGATGCACATATAAAGCGCAAATGTTCAAAATGCCAACCGCAGTGCTGGAACGGAGAAATTTAAAAACGGTACTTACTTAAAAAACATGCCTCGTATTTCATTACAAACTTGATAAAATGCTATATTCTCTTTTGTGCATTACACATCAGACTCCAGATTATCCTTGATCTGAGTGGCTTACTGATTGTGGATGATTGAAATTCGAAATCATGGATAACACAAACCTAACCTATATTGCACAGGAAATAACACCAGGTTTTAAATGGAGTGTTCATGCAGCCTTATAGCTTTAATTCACACATATCTATTCATAATTTTAAAAATATTGTTTAGGCCTAGTAATCGCTAACTCATCTGTGGTTAGAAGTTAAAAACTGCAAATCTATAGTCTGCCCGTGAGATGATAGGCCTCCTCAAACTAAACATCTTCGACGTTGCTGTATAACAAACATTTAACCATTTAACATTTAACATTTAACATTTAAGCATAGAATCTGTTTAGCTGGTTCATCTACCCGTGGATAATCAGGAGTCTATTGTATTAGTAAATGGTGTAAATATTGATATTAAAACTACATATAAGATTGAAATATTTAGCACCTATGAAGCATTTGATTGCTAAAACAAATGCTAAATATTTTATTGAAAAAGAAAACAAAATTTGGTTAGGACTAAATAATGTGTTTGAAAGTAATTTGATATATTTACCTAATACAAGTCCCCAGAACACACCCACCTCAAAGTTTTGGGATACATTTTGGTTTAAATAGAAAGAAATTATCCATTTAAGCCTTATAAAGGGTGTGAATATTAAAATTAAGTTTGAGTAAAAAAATATGTATGGTAACTTATAAGTGACAAGTATTTACCTCTGTAAATCTGGATGCTTCATAAGGGGATTGGTGGTAGTACTTGGCTCCTATTGTCTCAATAAACTGTTTAGAGCTAAAAAAAGTGGTTTCGTCATTCAAACTTGCTATATTATTGTTCTTCTCATTTGATTTTATTGTTGCGTCATTACATGCATCTAGAAGGGAAGCGATTGAGCTGGTGTCACTAATAACCTCAATTCTTTCATTTGTTATATCATCCGCAACACCCACAACTTCTTCAACATTATCTTCCACTTTCTGAGACAAAGATTCATTTCCCTGTACATCTTTTGATGATTCTTCAATACCTGGTGGTTTTGATGAATTTACTGCAGTTGTCTTTTCTATACTTTTCTGCTGGCTTGCATTTTTATCACCATCTAAATCAATTCCTATGCTATTATTAGAACTTAAAATCTTTACAGATGAGTCGCCACTCGAGTCCTCTATATTTAAACATATGGGTTCATCAGAGGTTTTAACTCCATTTTCTTTCTGAACTGAAGGAGTTAATTTTGAGTCTATAGCTTCTTGTGTAGGTTTTCCTTTCTCTGGGGAGCTGCCTACAGCAGAACTAACAGAAGAACTTGATGGACTGTAAACAAGTGGTTCCATTTTACTCGAATCTTCTGACACAACAACTTTATCTCTTGCTGGATGGTTTTCTACTGAATCTACTGCTTTTCTTGTCTTGGGAGGACTCATTATTTCTGTAGTTTGAGTACTTGTTCTGAAGTTGTCACTTTTCAATTTTGCTCCTTCACAAAACTGTGTAAATGTCACTTCAGATCCTGAATTTTTAAGGTGGACATCTTCAGTTTCTGTAAACGGAATACCAAGGGCTGATTCTTCAGCCATGATTTCTTTAATTTCCCTCAATAAAGGTGGGGTCTCCCCAATCATTGTTTCATCAATTGAGCTCAACGTGTTTATGTTTACTCTATTAATTTCAGATTCATTTGTCTTATCTTGCTCGGTTCCTGAATTTTTAGGAGGGGTTGCTTTGTTGATGTTAATTTCAGCAGGCGAATTTCTTGTAGGAGATGCAATTTTAAAATCTGCAATAGTACCAGGTTCACGTAGTGTTAGGTTTTTAGGTTCTGTTTTACTTTCTTCAAAAGCTGGTTTTATTTTCAGTGGAGACTTTTTATTTGGTGGGTTACTTTCTTTGATTACAGGCAGTGGGGATTTTTTATTCGATTGTAAATTACTTTCTTCATCTATTTTTGGGCTATTTTTTTGTTGAACTTCAGAGGAATTTGTCAATGGGGATTCATCGGTTGTAATTTTTTCAATTGTAGCAGATGAAAGGCTTTCTTCCGAGTCTGCAATACTCTGCATCAATTCCTTCACATGTTGCTTGCTAAGTCTCTTGACATTTGCATGTTGTCCTTCCACGCAAAAGAAAAGCTCAAGGGGCCGTTTCCCTATTCTGGGATCATTCTTCAATTTGAAATTCAATCCCATTACGTTGTTGATTCGAAAGAATTGACCTACTTTTAAAGGAATATCCAAACGGAAGTAGTTAAATATTATGATGTCAATGTATGGTGATTTCTCTACTACTACAGGACAATCCAAAATTTCTCTTGTTACACTATCCCAAGATTGGCCTTGAGGTATTCTTAGAGAACCACATTTGCATACCGTACCATCTTGAACTCTAACTACCTGAATTCCTTCTTCAACCAAAACAAACTCTGAAACAATCTTACACTCGAGATCTATTTTGTTAGGTACATCAGCCTCTTCCAGTTCACATAGTGAGATATCAGAAATATCTGCAATCGCTCGGAAATCTTGTTGTTTTGTTAATTGCTTTAGATACGATTCATATATTCCAAATTTTCCATCATTGTTTTGTTTGTTTGAATTGCTCCAACTATTTTTTGCATTTCTGGTATTTTTACTTTTAACATATTCATTTGATTTAGAATCTCTTTTAACTTTATTACTGGTTACAACTGTTACATCACATTCAGCAGTCAATATATTTTTCCCAAATGATGTAGTGCCCTCCAGATCATTGGTGAGTTTAATTTTCTTACTACTTTCATCAACTGATCCCAGTTTAGTTTTCAGATCTGATTTATTACGCTTGTTTGTACATCCTTCATATTTAACAATAGTGTCTTTATTTTTGCTCAAATCTTTACTTTTAGGGTCAGTTTTCTTTTCTTTTGATGCTTTGTGAAGATTTACTTTTGGTAGATTTAAATCAGGACTAGAAGCTTTGTTTTCAATAGGAACAATGTTTGAATTTAATTTAATTTTCTTTTCTGGTGCAGAATTTGTGTGTACATCAGCCTTTTGACATTCACGATTTTTCAATCGTAATGACCCTCTGGAATTTCTACTTTCTGTGTCACTGAAACCTTCTGACAATGTCGAATCACTAGAATTAAGAAATCTACTTCTTAAAAGCGAGGGCTTGGATTTGGGTGATTGTTCTTGACTAATATCAGACACATCTTCACTCTCAAGTGCGATGATTTTCCTTGCAGTGGGACTAATGCCAGTATTTGGTATTTTCTTAGTTGTAGCTAAAATTGTACTATTAATATTTTCTCTTGACAGATTTGTCATCTCAATTTCATTATTTTCCGGATATTTCCGTTTTTCTCCTCTCTTCACACTTTGGGTTTTTTCATTCAGAGAAGCAGTTTTGGGAGAGCAATAATCTGATTTACTGCTAGGAGAATTGTCTGTTTCCATTGAACTAGATTTATCTAAAACAATATTTTGCTGGCTTCTCTTTTTTAGTGTTGTAATTTCTTCAGATATAGGCCTTTTTCCAGCTTTCTTTTTTCCTTCTTCTGTTGTATTACATGTTTCACCGGTATAAGATTTTTCATTCACACACCTTGGACTGAGAGAAGCTTTATTCTGATCAATATCTTCTCGTTTCTTGTCCCTCGTTGATTTTCTGGGAGTGTTAGTAAATGAGTCTTCTTGTGTAACCTGTGATCTCTTTTGACTCAAAGAATTTACACTTTCTTCTTTTTTACTTTGTTTTTTCTCGTTATAACTCTGTTCTTTACCACTGGACTCGGAGCTTGACACGTTGTCTTCTAATATACCAAGTGCTCGTGTCAATCTAGACACAGGCTCTTTTTTGGATGATGATGGTGATTTACTTTCACTAAAAAACTTGCTGGGTTTATCATGTTTAGATTTATCCAGCTTGGACAAACTTAATGATTTGTTCAGTTTTTTAGGGTTTTGCAATTTATTCAAATTGGAATTACTTCGAGTTCGTGTAAGTTTTGTAGTTGTTGAGGTAGCTACATCTTCAGAAGATGTCGTTGATTTGCTTTCTCTAAGTTTCATGGGTTCATTATTTTTGGATTTATTTAGCTTAGACAAACTTAATGATTTCTTAATTTTTTCAGAGTTTTTCAATCCATTCAAATTGGAATAACTTCGAGACTTAGTCAGTTTTGTAGTTATTGAGGTAGTTACATCTTCAGATGATGTCGATGATTTGCTTTCTCTAAGTTTCATGGGTTCATTTTTAGGATTGCTTATGCCTTTTTCTACTTTTCTGGTGGGTGAATGTCGAAGGGCTCTGTTTTGGGGGGATATTTTGTCAATTGATGTTTTATTACCTTTTGATATACTTGTATCTTTGTTTCTGGAAGTAGCAGGATTGCCAGCTTGTTCCAAAGCCTTTGAAGGCAACTGACCTTTTTCATCATAAACAGGACCACTTCTTCTTGTATTTGATTTTTCCACTTCAGTTGTTTTTTGTTTAAAATTTGTTCTTTTCCATTTTAAAATATCAAAAAATCTCTTCTTGGCCGAATCTGAAAAATGTTATTATGTTATTTATTTAGTTTCAAAAAGTTAACAGCATATGTCACTAGATGTATTAAAACTCAGTTGTTCAAAGAAATAAAACTAATGATTGGGTCACAAATTAAAGATGAGAATGGATTTCAAAACGCTGAGATATTCAAACTTCAACAGTCAACATATTATTACTGTTCTACTACAATCTTTTTAACGTGCAAGTAGACAAAATAACGTTACGGTACATCAGTATTTTTAACATTTGAAACTTAAGAGTTCTTCAGATTGTGAAATTTAGTGCAGAATAATACATTTTTTAGCAAAACACCAAGAAAGTGTTATAACTCTAAGGTAAGAAACTTAATTACTTGTTTGGGTTGAATTTTGCTATCAAGATTAGACAAATTGCTAATCTAATTTAGGCCTACTCAAAGATGGGCGTAGCCATTTTTATTCTCAGGATATTATTGAAACTTTTGGTGATTTCAAAGCCTACAAATGGTGAGTCGGTAGCACCACGGACTTCGGGCCTAAAGCAGCGATGTTGTGGATTCGGATCCTAACACCCTGCCACTACTTTATCAGTATAGTTCACCCTAGTACTGTACTGGCTCACCCATTCTTTGTTGGATACGACCCACGCCTAAGTGGACGTGAAAATGCAAGGTTAAGATCAACCTTCAAGAAAAATTTTAAAAATCTAAATTCCCAAAATAACCCCCCCCCCTCCTCCATTTACGCCAATTTCTAATACTACTGCCTTAAAAAAATATCACTTACATTAAGTCCTCAAGCTTACTCAGCAAATCACAAATTTTCAGCTTATATGGGAAACATTCTGACTAATAGGATAATTTCTAACAAATAGTCAACAAAATAAAATACACCTTTAAGGACTCATTAGTCACCAATCCAACTATATTTCAAGCAACAATCTTTATCAGAGTTTGTTTGATATTTTGAGCATAAAAAAACAAAAATATTAAATTTACATATCCTACAATTTTAAAAACAAACAGTTTTACCATCCTAAATAATTATATAAAGATAAGTTTTAAAATAGTTACCATTAACGGTAATTGATTTTTCTCCAGGATACCACTTATGGCTTTGATGACTGTCATCGAATAAGGTTATTTCTTCTTCATCTTTAGATTCTCCATATACGCAGCCTTCATTTTTTGTTACCTAGAAGACAATAAAACATTTGTAAGAAGAATTACATATATTATTTAAGAGGGACCACCAGTTGGTCGACAGATTACTATGCCATCTGGCATCTTAATTGTCTTTTTAAGTTAAATAGATGAATAAAAAAGTCAAAAAGCCTCTTTGTGGTTATTTTATTGTCGGTCCACTTGTAAAATTCAATTAATAAATACGAGACATGAGAGTCAATGATTATACAACTTTGATGGTCAGAGTGGCAGCGCATGCAGCCCTGGAGGCTGCTGCAGTTGTACCAACTGGCATAGCGCAATGAGATTGTGATGTGGTTGTCACAATCCAGGGAACTCAGAGGAATGTTCATTTTTTGATGACGCGTAATTGTTTGTAGAGTTCAATATTTGCTGCAGATATGTTCTACCTATAAATTACATAGAGAAAGAATGTAACACTTATACTTTACGGTTTTTAAGTCAGTTACAGTACTTACTTTAACATCTTTCAGTTGAATAATGTATCCTGTTTTAGCAATGTTCAAGAACTGGCTGAGAGTTTCTTTTTCCATTTTCAATTTGACGTTGAATCCGGGTTGAGTTACAGTTTGGTCTGATAAGCATAGTTCGATTCTAATCTGAAATAAGGAAAAAAACATGAATAATTAATTATTGCCTAAATTAGGGGTTTGAAAACAAGAGTTCAAGATACCAGCGTATAGAGTGTGTTAATTCAGTTTCAAGACGAGTATCAGGAATAGAAATGAGCTAAACATTTATGCATAGTGAACTAAAAATCTTCAAACTAGTTTCCTTTTGAGTCCACACACCACTGCTAGCGAGTTTTCCACAGTGGGAGGGCTTCCTGGAACTCATCTATTGGAATGCTGTTCAGATTCTTCGTCAAAGCCGTTTGAACTGCTGCAATTGTGCCTACTCTTTCAATTCCTTCTTCAAACGAGAGAACAAAAAGAAGTCGTTGGAGGTCCGTGCTGTAGGGTTTCCACGTTGTTTTGGGCCAAAATCTGGGCGACTGAGCAGTGTGCAACAGCCAAGTGCCACTGCTTCTAACCGTCCATGAGTACTTTCTTTACAAGTTTGACATTGACTTCTTCATTATCAAATCTTCAGACCATTTGAAACATGTACTCAAGTTGCTACGCACCATAAAGCTTTCTATAGATTTATTTATTAACGTAGGCCTACAAAATTCCTTTGGCTATTAATTTAGTCCACATTGAACTTAAAGTCATTTCTTAATAAAGATCATTCTTAACTTGTGTTTTATTTGTGTCTAATGACGTAAGTCTTTATCTTAATCTTATAATATATGAATTACTTTAAGAATAAATAGGTTTGGTAAGTTACAATATGAAATTTATTAGCGAATTACAAATATAAGATGTTGGTTGAATTCCATAGGGTCTAACAATGGTAAATTTACAAAATGGTGGGGCTTCCAAAGTGGATAAAAAGAGTCTAGGCTAGGCTATAATAGTTATATTGGGTTGGTTTCTTCTGAAGTGATTGATATTTAAATATATGAGCTCTTGATTTCAGGGAGGGGTGATCGTGCCGGTTCGAATGATATATTAGGCTTTAACTTTAAAATGCAGATAATTTTATTATTGTTCTGAAATAGGCTAGGTTTATGATGCTATATTGTAATATGCCAATGTCCAAAGAAAGATGCCAAAATGATTTCACTGAATTTAATAGAATAAAATAAGATTTGAAGATTAAATTTGGAATAAAGGTTCAATTTGAAATAAACAGATCTTCATGAATTTCAGTTATAATTGGGCCTATTGGGCTATGTTGATTCAAAATGTCCAATGAAGATTTGTCCTTAGTTATTTAAACAAGATGGATGAAGGTTACCAAATTTTGAGTCTCTGTCATCACCTTTGTACCATATGTAATAAATAAAATAAGGGTTGGTTAAAATTTGGTACTTTTCAAGGCACTTGTCCCTAATACTTTTGATTTAAAAACAATTTAAAATTTAGATTACACTTTGGGATGAATTTAATTTAAGTCAAGCACAATGTCCTATAAAGTGATGTTAACACTGTGAAGAGTTGGCAGGATCTGGGGCGAGGCAATGGTTGAAGCTCTGTAAGTCCATGTCCATTGTTGAAATAATGTACAGCTGGTTAATTCACATAAATGACACTTGCCACAGCAATTTTGATTTTCTTTGGATAATTTTGAAAAGTAATACTATATTTAAGATGTTATTATTATATTGCAATTTTCTTACAATTATATATTATTCTAAGTAAATTTGATTATTGTTGGTTTTTGATAAGTATAGGATGGATATGGTGAGAATTGGCATAAATATTATATTGTAACATAAAATAGGATGATATTTCTGTGGGCTGATGGAATATTATATAACATTGAAAAAAATTGGAGAAAATAATACATTAACAAGAAGAAGCATATTAAATAACTGATAACATATTATTAGGGGCATTAACAAACATTATGGGAGAAAACACACAAAATAATAGAGGAATTAATATTAATGATGAATGAATGACATGTAATATTACAAAGCTCAAATTCATTATATCCAAGATGAGTCTAATGTTCAAGAATTGGTCGGTGTTTAAAACTTCTGCACTTTTGCCAGATTTGAGTTTTTGGGACGTTGCAGGCCTTCCAGCACGATTATCATCTTCACGAACCCCCCCCCCCCCCCCTTTAAACTGCTTCTGCCACAAGAAAACCTTTTTTGTATGCCTGTTGAAGCAACTGAATCGTTATTCCTCGACAAGGAGTTTGGTGAAAAATGCTGCTCACTTGAAAACACTGAATTTTTGTTCTCACAATGTGTCAACGTCATCACAAAACTCACTTTAACTTTGCGTGTGATGCTTTCACTCCAGCATCTCGTTGACAACCGGAGAGGATTTGGTCGCTGTGACCTGTGACCCCCTCCACTCATCCAGTGCCACATGGCCGGTTTGGTAGCACTCTTTTACACAGGAAATAATCAGTCTTCAAACTTAAATAACACACCCAGTATCTCAGAGTATTTTTGGATTCATATAAGTATTTTCAAGACTGTACTATTTGATGATTTAAACTTTAAAAAGAGGTCCTTGATTGTTTCGTTGTAACCTGAAACCAATCCTCCGTGCCACCGGTTCATAGGAAAAGTACTTTTATTAAGAAAAAATTCAAAATATCCGAGCTGGTATTTCGCAGGACACAAGCCTATTGGCGGGATGGTCTAAGTGTGATAGCTACGCCCCATGGCATCAGGCGAATCACGGGTGTGATGTTGAGTTGAAAATACAACATTTTTTGTTTAGAGTGATAGAGCAAACTCAATGACTCTACTTCAGAGATTACTGAACTAACCTATAAAGCAACAACTTGACTCGTCTACAAAATGACTTAAATCCAGAAATTAACTACAAAACTGAATGTCAGCAGAAAATAGCTGCAGATGACTGAAATACCAATATCATTTCCAATGAACAGGTAAATTACTAGGCATAACCATCCATGCCAAACTCTCTTGGACAGAACATGTGAACAGCCTGAGCAACACGCTAGTATCTGGAATTAATGAAACGTGTAGGTTTAAATGGATAGGAGGACAGAAAGCAACTAAGACTGCATACCATGATTTAGTAGAGTCCCACATAAGATTTGGATCGGTGGTTTAAGGTGGAACCGCTTAAAAGAACCTTCTTAAAGGATTCTGCGGCTCCAGAAAATGAGCTATTAGAATGCTAGCTGACCTCAGTTCTACAAGGAAGCTTATAAATAACTGGAAATCATGAAAAAATTCTATTTAAAACAGTTTTTTGGTATTACATCGATATAATGTAGAAAATATGTAAGCAGAACACCCCAAGCATAGTAAAAAAATAAATAAATAAAATTATGAATATCTCTTTAAAACAACTTACCAACTTGCCACGGTAAATCACTGGAATAATTTCTTCAATAACTGCAATAACACTGACGAACTGCAGCTTGTGGTCTATTTCCGACAGGGTAATATACTTGTCTTCCTGCAAAATAAGACAAAATAAGTGAAATAGTAGGTAAAGGCTTATATTATTGTAGGGACTGGCTCAGGTAGGACTACAATTTTGTCTGTATAAGCTAATAGGCTACTGTAACAATTTTTATGCAAACTGTGGTTAAAAGTTAGTTATTTTAATTCAAGTTTTTAATTTTTGTTTCATTCATTTTACAGTTTGGTAAAATGTAACTTAGTTAAACCAATTTGATGTTAAATATGTGTGCAGTGTTTTAAAAGAAACTTTTTGAGGATTTGACAAATACCCTGCTTATCAGTCCCGGCCTGGTATCTGTCTGAGTCTGGACAGTGTGGTGGTGAACAGTGGAGTTGAAGTCTAGTGTAGACGATCGTACAAGGCGCATGGTGTGTTGGGAGTGTTTGATTGTTGGCTTGGTCATATTAAAGTTACTTGGGGATTGATATGTAATTGTAATGTAAAGTGTCAAAACATTGTCTTCACTTCAGTCCATGTTCATTATCAGACCGTGACAGGTGTTAATTCATTTATTTTCGCCCAAGTGTTTCTTAGTTGTCTTGACGTTATTATATTTTAGTGATAGTTAAATATTTTTAATACATAAGTTATTAAGGTTAACAGTTTTAATTAAGTACAGTAGATTAATAACATTTGTTTGCAATGGCGGGCGAGTGTGATATCAAGTGGCCAAACTTAAGTGACCAACAAGTTGAAAAAAATGAAAAGAATGGACTCGCGTTAAAATGTTTATTGTGTTTACCCAAAACAAAAATAATTAAAGCATCAGTCACAAGTGCTTCGAATTTGAGATCGCATGTTAAGGTAATGGAGAAAAAGTATGATGGTCTCATTTTTAACTTGAAGTGGAATATATATATTTTTAATTAATATAATTTTAATTTTTTAGTACAGTTATAGTGTATTTCTCAATGTGTTTCCCGTGCTCTTTTTAACACTATCTCACCACAAATAGGTCACTTTTAAAACTAGTAGTAAACTATACTTCTATCACACTGGGAAAACTAGCCTACTTCATCAGACATAAAAAAATTATCTGATATTTCGTAATCCATTAATTGTTTCTAAGTTAAACACAAAACGGCTGTACAATTAATTTTGGTGTAACATTCAGCTAATTGAACATCAACAAACTGTGTTTTGACCTAACCGGGAACTTCAGTTGTAACTTATGTTTGTGTATCGAAAGTAATGTATGTCAGGAAAGGTGAAATGATCACTAGGCCTATTTGTTTTTGAACTATTGAAAACAGAGTGATGACAAGTTTTTTTATCACCATTGTTGGGGAAATATGTGCACTCGAGTTTGAGCCTAAATATCTCCGAGATGAATTATCCAATTTTGTTGAAACAAAAATTAAATATAAGCTGGTTTAAATACATTTTACGTGTAGTATTAGTGCAGTTTCTTAAAAAACCGGTACTTTTTAGGATCTTTCAACTATATAAATTTTCGGGTAGGCCTAAACGAAATATTTTTAATTGACACCACGTAAAATGTATTTAAACCAGAGAGGGCCAAGGTGGAATCCGAGTTTGCATGTTATCTCCATGACATTGTTGAATGTCAGAATTCTGCAAGAACCTCTTCATAAAATTCAACACAGCGGTTCCATCATCAGCGCACTGCGAATGCCTGTTCAGTGCGGCAAGCCTAGTCATCACTAACAGACGAGGAAGAATCAGCGACACCAATTTTGAAAACAACTTCTTTTAAAGTTTAATAGGAATTTAAAGTAAATTTTGTTATAGTAATTAATGTAAAAGTGACGATGTTTAATTAATTTTAATTTAAACACACTTAGTAACCAAAATGTGTCATTATTTCATTACATATGAAATCCTTTAAAACAACTGTCCAACCATCAGCTAACTTCTACGAATGTCGAAAACTAACTTTATTTTCTATCAGTTAGTTTTTCAACTAACTAATAACTTATATCAGTTACTTTTTAAACTAAATAGGCCTAACTAGTAACTTCTATCAGTTACTTTTTATGTGACTAACTTCTAACTTCTAACTAGGGCCTAGTTAGAAATTTTGACTAACTTTCCCAACTATGCTAAGAAGACCAAATTTTCTGCTAATAATATGCTTTACCTACTCCACTTTTATAAATTTTGGGCAATATATGAATTATTTATACCTAATATGGTTTTTAAAGGTAGCGATTTACAGTTAATAACAAGTTAAAATCAGCAAATATATCACGAAAATCGTAACAATCCGAAATTAGGAAGTCCCGCTGCCTAATTCTGAACATGCGTCCGGAACTAAAGCTTAGTGTACATTTCGCCATCCTAATTCCGGACGGCTTGAAAGTTAATCTTAAAATTAAAATGACAGAAAAATATTTAAAGATTCATATTAACAACTGTACCGGTACTTTATCACAAATTGACAGGTATAGTTTTTAAAGCCTAAGATACTTAACCGCTTTCTTAAGGAAACAGACAAGAGATATCAGAAATTTGCAAAAACTGTATACAGCATGACCAATCACGGCTCACTGGATCTAGTGGCCAATGACCATCTACAAACCCATTATTGTCTGCAGACAGATTAAAAAAGCCAACGAATGCAAATAATCTTAAGTTTGTTTTGATCAGATAAAGCATAGGCTATGCTTATTATTTGAGACGAAACCCGGCGTGTTCGGTATTTGGTATGTTTACCTTATCGTGAATTCAAAAAATGTAATTTTCTCTTAGGGGACTTCTTGTTGTTTTCCGTCAAACTACTAAGTTAGGTGATCCTTTTTTAAAACGTATTTTTCGGCACAGTTTGACCGTCTAACATATTATTATGACTTTTGGTTCTTGAGATATTAGCTATTTTGTGCGTTCGGAGGGGCGACCCCCTCCGAACTTCATCCCCACCCCACCATGTTACATTAACCACCTAGTAAGGCTGCACTTTACCTTACAATTTGAACACACTCATTTGAATGAAAATATCGAACGATATATCGAATAAAACAATTGAATAATCGATATTTTCATTCCGACTGAGTGTAGGACAAATTGCAGCCCCTAGGAATTTATTTATTTATTCATACCAACGGTCAAACCAATACATTTACATGACAAAAAATTATTAAGTCTTAAGTTAAAAAGAGACATTTTTAGAAACAATTTCAGCCAACTTGAAGTAATATTCAATAAATAGATGAACAATATGACAACAAAAAGATCCTAACAAAAGACATAACAAGATATAAGATATAGGTAACGATATAACAAGCAATAACAGTAGGAAATAAATGTAACAAAATATAATAAATGTGGCAACACCGAATACCTTCATACTACTAGGTACTAAAGCGGGGTTTACACTAGCATGTAGCACTTGCGCAAGTTTTACTTGCATGGTCATGCAAGCTGTACTTGCATGCAAATTAAGGTTTACACTACAACCTACCTTTGCAAGTGGAACTTGCCTCAATTCCAGTCAGGGCAGTTCTACATGTGATGCGGAATGTAGGATTTTATAGAGGACGTTCGGGCTGTAGTGAGAGCGATGCAATAATTGTGTTACATGAGCTTTTTGAAGAAGCAAACGAATTACTTTTTAAAATAAAGAGAAGAAAACAAATGTAATGTTAGGAAAGAAAATGGGTAAGTTATCAAGAAGGTTATCAGCCATGGCAACTCAATAACCACTACAACTATGACAAATACGCAAATTAACCTTAAACTCAAATGTACAGACACACCAGCACACGACTAAAAACTCTCTTCACTTGCTTACAAGTAGGAGTGGTCTGCAAGTCACGTGTTTACACGTAAGTAGGCAAGTGGAGCCGGCGTGCAAGTGGAACTTACGCGAAAGTTGTGAAAAGTTGAACTTGCGCAAGTAAAAAATGCATGCAAGTCAGCCTTGCAAGTTTAACTTTCGTGCATATTAGTGTTTACATTTGCAAGTTGTTAGGCTAGGCAAGTAGGATGCAAGTAAAACTTGCACAAGCGCTACATGTTAGTTGAAACCCCGCTTGACCCAAAGCAACCTTTACAGATACGGAAGTCTACCCCTTTGATGCCACTATGCAAACTCTGACAAAAACAAAGCCAAGTGTAAGTTAATCAATATAAAATGGGTCTTACATTAACGACTTACCTTCCCCATGTTTCTATTTGGGCGTAGGTCTGACTTTTCTTTGAAAAAACCCTAATGCCGAGATGAATTATTCTATGCTAGTAATATCTTGTCGTAAAGTAAGCCTACGGAACCCAGCCTAGTTGGCATTTTTATAATTGCATTCTTAGTCCAAAACTAAATCCGTTCTCGCGTTCTAGACTTTCACCAAGAGTAACAGTAGGCCTAATGCCTAATCAAACTAAACTACTAAGCAGTAAGCACTAACACTAACATCAAACTTGAAACCATGGCCTATGCCTACAGAAAAGAACAAAAGAGTCAAAGAGTGGTACATTTTTGCCAATCGAGCCCGAGCGGTGTTTTCATTTCACAAACTCACGAATCACGATCACTCAGCCGATCAGGCGATCGGAATGATCCAATGATCGAATATCGAATCAGCATTCTCTTCTATTCCATTCCATTCTCGATTCTATAGTACCGTAATGAACCGAACTGATTGGACGTAGTTGACTGGTCCAGAAAGACTGAAATAAGAATGACAAACTGGTCTAGATTGAAATTTTATTACAGTATGGATGAAAATAATGCAAAATAGTTGGTACGATGTCATAGCTTATAATGTCATAGCTTATAATTGCAAATTTGTTGCATAGCTTATAATCTTGAAAATGTGGCATAGCTTATAATGGAAAATTTAAATTGTTCCATAGCTTATAATCGTAGAAATGAGGCATTGCTTATAACGGTTTTCTTAAAATGTGTCATAACTTATAATGGCATAGCTCAAATGTGCTGCAGCTTATAAAATCTCGTTTGTTCTATAGCTTATAATTTTAAAAACGTGGCATAGCTTATAACGCGCGGGAATTACGTCATAGCGGATGGGACAGCTGATCGATCCTGAGTAGACAAAAAAATTATCGTGCAATGGTCCTCAAATTATCGTATCGACTAGCAGCCGCTACTCGGCAATAAGAAGTCGCGTTAAGTGCAGCCAACGTAGCAAAACCAAAAGTATTTCAAGTTTTGACGACATAATATGTAATAGATGTATATATTAAATGGTTTTTGTTGAATAATAGAATAATTTGTTGTATCTCCTGTTTTACTTTAATTATGTAAGCTGAAATATATTATCATAAGTTTGATATTGCTCGTGTTGCTTATTTATGCTATGCATGATAACTATTGTGTAGGTAATATTTATTTTGTAATATTGTGTAATACCGGTGTAAAAATACTTTTTCATAGATAAAACCGTAGACTATGCAACATAAGTAGACTTCTCTTCCCATTGTTGATTTTGAAGCTTGTTTTTCGTGTCTATTTCATGTACGTCGACACTGATCGCTAGTGTAAACGAAATCTTGTTTCTATTATATTAGGGTAATTTTATGATTTGTGCTTTACTGTTTGGTTATATAACTAGGAGACCAGTAATTTTTATGATTAGATAGTTTTATTTGGTTAAATTAGGTTTTAAATAACTGAAATAACAATATTAAGAAACATATTGTAAAAAAAAAACACAACCTCTACAGTTGGCATAGAATAGCAATAAAATTGGCTTCAGCTTTTCAACAAGAATGACAAATCTTCTAAGGGACTTAATGTTTGATCTATGATCAAAACATGTTTAGTAGATTTGTCATACTTATGGAGCAGCTTAAGCCCAAATTTTAGTTTTATTTCTGTACGGTGCAATGTAGATTATAGAGGTCATGTTTTGTTTACAATTTGTTTCTTATTATTTCACTGTTTACGCCTTCATTTAGCCAAATAAAACGATCTTGTCATGTAGCGGTCAGTGTCACAGGACAAGAACTACAAATCAGTGCAACCCCCATTTCTGTGAACATTATGTTTCAAAAGTTAATGCAACTTTTCTGTTAAAAAGTAACCCAAGCATGATTTTTTATTGCAAGAAAAATTAAAACATTTTTCCCAAAGATCGGAAACATACGTTTGACAATAGTTTTGTCCATTGATGTAATTTCTGTAATATCAAAAATGATATATATCCAAGTATTTATAAACAGTACTAAAATTCTAAAATCCATACTGAACTCGACTACGTCATTAGCAAAACTTGACACAAGAAGGCACTTAGTTACCAAAATAGTCATAATGTAGTAATGTAATAAGTTCATTTAAGATTTTATTTGTATTGATTAAATGATTCAGTACTAAGTAAAAGTGTAAAGAAAAAAACGGATTTCTAACAAGATATTTAATATATAAATATTCAAATATATTTTTTCTCGTAAATACTCTCAAATACCTCTCGACTGACTGGTTCTTTACAAATTGGTTGCCCTTGGGTTGGAAGAACTAAGTGAACAAAAATATTACAACAGAGTGTTGGCAGTGGAAGCTTGATGTTAAATAAAAATTTAGTGGGCCCTGTGGAATGAAATTACCCCCAGAAGTCCTTAGGGGACGTTCTTGGTAGTGTTTAGTTCTTCCAAGGCTGAAAACAATCTTAAGACTACACTGACTCTACCTTGCACACTACCACACTAAACTTAGTGTTACACCCAAGGTGTATCTTTTGTAGTGAATTCTTATTGGTTATAATTACGACTCTTTGAAAGAACTATATTTATGCTAGGATTGAAATACCAAAGGTTAATGGTAATCAGTAAATAAATCACAATTCCATATATTTAAAAACAACTTCAGTGGAGAATATAATTATAATATAACGATGACACAAGGTGATGTGTTACGAAATGTATGGCCTTTTGCCCTAATATATTTGCCATTAATGTTATCACTACTATATGAGTGAAAATTTAAAAACGTATGTTTTCAGGAAAAGCACTTTGCAAATTTTTTCCCCCTTTTTTCAAAACTTTTATTATTTTTATTTCATTAACATTTTAAGTTTCATAAAATGTCCATGGTAACGCAATATCTTTGGTAGTTTTTTTTTAAATAGCATCTTTAGTGGAAAAACACAAAATCATGTCAAGACCATAACAGACGTTTAAATGAATATTAAAAATAGTTAATATTATTTTTAGAACTATGTTTTGCTATAAACTAATTTAATTTTATGACCATTATACAATAAAAAGGTCACTGAGCTTTTGGTATATTTGGTCTTTCTAGAAAAAAATAAAAAACTCAAAAAATTGAAAAAAAACATTAAAATCTTTTTAAGTTTGTATAACTCCGAAAAAACTTACCTGAGACCCGAAAAATCTTTATGTTTGTATAGAGGTGTGCTTCTTTTTTGTATAAAACATTAAAATATGACGATATTTTAATTTTTTAAATTAATTTATGATAGAAATCATAAACGTGATGGTCAGGGACAAGCGGTACGGTTGTGAATTTTCTGAAATAATCTAAATCTTTCTAAACAATCCTTCAATTATACTGTTAGTTATAATAAAAATATGTGTTTCAATTGAACTAAACTGTTCAATTTACAATTATATTAAAGTTATTGTCACGACCAAACACACTATAATCCATAAGGCTAGATTGGTCGTGAAAAAAACCGCGATGGTCGTGAAACTTTGGTCGTGAAATTACGTGTTATTTGGCTCTGTTCTGGCGGTTGCCCTGCACCTCATGTTCGAGGATACAAAGTGGACTTCTAGATTAATCTAGCAATTGAAATATCTTATAAACAAAAATTAACACCATGTCTACTTCATCGAATGACTATGTACGGTCATGGACACACTAAAATTACAAAAAACACAATCTTTCCTTTATTAATCTTGTAATTCCTCCTTTCAACTCGAAACGACCGGCACTACAATCCTGACGTACACCCCGAACTAGTCTCTAAAACCAACTGACTCCATCGACGCCAGGCTTGCCACTGTCGTGCTCCAAAGTAGAAAATTTTTCCCAAATGGTCGTGACGCCAAATCGAGGGACAGACTTATTTTGTCATGGTAGTCAGTTTGCAATGACAATAAAATTATAATGTGCTCCTTTATTGTAAGTTGAATAACCATTGATGACATAAAAATATGGCTTTATATATTTCGGCATGAATAATTAGCCTATAAACAGCGTGAAAGTTGGAAAATGTACCCTAGGGACACGTCATGGTCGTGAATTTCGAGACTTTAAAAATACGAAAAAATACCTAGAACCTATTTAAAACCAAATAAATGTGTGTAACATATTGCCCCCGTCCCAAAAATATTAAAACACATAATAATAAACTACAAATCCAGTATCTACGAAGTAAAAGGTCAGGGACATGAAAACGTACGTTTTTTAATTTTCACTCATATATCGAACCTCTCGGTAGAGGAATGAAGTGATTGGCGCGGTTACAATATAGCCGCGACAGTGACATTAAGGTTTGAAATTTTAATGTTTGAGACGTTCCAACACTTACAAAATCCAAAGACAAATGCTAGTTTTTTTTGCCTAGTGAAATCACTTTGAAAAATTCCCTGACTTTTCCCTGGCGATTCCATGATTTTTTTAAACTTTCCCTGATCGACAAATTCAAAACTACAATTTTAATACTAACTAAATCTTCAAAAGGACTAATCTTTATCTGAAGAATATCTTATGTTTGTTGACATGAAAAAAAAATACATAAAATCTATAGATACAGGCTTGTAGCTTATATTTAAACTTTGCAGCTTGCTTTAATAAAATTAAACAGAGTTTGATAAGATGATACACAGTTTTGTAACAAAATTTAATCTGTACAAAAACACAAAATTTATTTGTACAAACATATTTTTTAGTTTTCCGTGACACAGCATACGTACTTTCACCAGATCGACCTTTACTAACAATTATTTTAAACATTTTACAATTTTCCCTGACTTATGACAAAATTCCCTGACTTTTCCAGATATTTAATATTCCCTGACATTTCCACGTCACTATAGCCACCCTAAAAGACTATAAAATTGAAGTGTAGATCTCATTGTCCAATTTGTTACAGTATAACTGTACGTAACTCAAGGCAATCGTATGAAAGATTATTTATTATTTATAGCTAAAGAGTGTTATGGCGGATACGTCTATATTGGAATACACTCCCACTAACTACAATCGCAAGCCAGAATCAAACCTGCAGCCCTTCCAAGTGTATTAAATTTTCCAATTAATTTCACCATTGGCAATAATACTCTTGTAACCTTTTGTTTGGAATAATACTGTGTTATGGGAACAATGTGTGTGCAATGACGATTATAATACAAACATTTTAATCAAATTACGTTAATTTTATCACAAATTATTGAACATTTATTTAATTTTTAGAATAAAAAATAATATCACTGACTATGTATCAATACCAATTAATCAGATCAAAATGGATACAAAATGTACTTATCAGTATCTGAATCT